ATTTACACTTTTATGATTGGCTTCCTTTTTGACCCAGGCTTGTTAATTATATCCAGCTGTAGGCAAATTGCTCTTCCAAATTGGCAGCACTGTGCTTTCAAGCTGCTCGAATATTTTATTTTTTTCTTCCTTGGATAAAACCTTCCGAGCATACACTTTCTTGACTAGTGTTTCTGAACTAATCCCCAGTTATGGGTATTTTAAAGGGTTCAGAGGATTTACAAAATAACTCTGGTTTTAAGTACAATACAATTCTTAACATTTGATCCAAAATTACCTAGGAACTTAGAGGGAGCATAATTTTTCAGAGTCTTAGGCACAGTGCCATCACGATCCCATTTGTTCCTAGATGCGCTGGTGTGGAGATCTAAGGAGTAACTGGCCAGGTCCTGGCACCAGTCCAGAGCAGTTGGACTTTGCCCTTCATTGGAAGATTCAAATACTCCAGAACAGTGGTCGGCAAACTGCGGCTCGAGAGCCATATGCAACTCTTTGGCCCCCTGAGTTTTTAGCAAACGCCAGCTTGGGAGCACCCTAATTAAGTTAATGACAATGTACCTACCTATATAGTTTAAGTTAAAAAATTTTGGCTCTCAAAAGAAATTTCAGTCGTTGTACTGATGATATTTGGCTCTGTTGACTAAACAGTTTGCTGACCAGTTTGTTGCTCCAGAACAACAGCCTTTCAAAGACGTTAGAAGTTCTTCTTCGTTGTTTTTGTTTTCTTTTCTGAAAGGACCTGTTCTGCTCAAGGGCTATGTTGTCAGAAATTCCCATCCCCCTCACTTCCCAGAGGACCCTACTGAAAGCATATATAACCACGCAATGCAATTATTATAAAGAGTGCTTTTATTTTCATTCTTTTCACCTTTCAAAGAGAAAATAAAAGCTCGTTTCCACCCACCCAAGAGGTTTTGTCTGATAGATTGACACTGAGGATTTTGACACTGAATTGAAATATTTTTAAGAGACGAGAATCAGGTACATAGGTGTTGGGGGAATGGGGGAAAATGAGATTCAGAATCAGAATATTCAGGTCAGAGTGACATCTCTGCTATTGATCGGTGTTATAACCTTGGCCAAGTATTTTAATCTCACTAAGCTTTTGTTTTTTTCATCATTTAAGTGAAATTAATACCACCTGCCAAATGTAGATCTAAAGTCATGATTAGAGTTAGTATGTGATAAATCTGCAATCAGAATACAAGTCTTCTTAAAAAGATATACTATAGTCCTAGCCGGTTTGGCTCAGTGGATAAAGCATCATCCTTCAGACTGAAGGTTTCTGGGTTTGATTCAGGTCAAGGGCACATGCCCAGGTTGCAGGCTCTGTTCCAAGTAGGGGGCATGCAGAAGGCAGCCAATCAATGATACTTTTTCATCATTAATGATTCTGTCCCTTTCTTCTTCTCCCTTCCTCTCTAAAATTAATAAAAATGTATTTAAAAATATATACTATAACCATATACCCAAAACAGTAGGAAACTAATTCTACATCTATTAATAACTATATCAATATTATGGTTATGGGGTTTGCTTTTCAAGTCTTTTCTTAGTTCTGATCATGGTACATGCTGACTTTGACTTCTGATAATTTTTTTCTAGTAAAATATGTGTAACAAAAATTACCATTTTAATTATACAGTTCAATGCTGTAAATGCATTCTCATTGTTGTGCAACCATCACTACCATCCATCTCTAGACCTTCTCATCTTCCCAAACTAAAATTTTGTACTGTTTTCTGATTTGTAAAATTATTTATTTTCCTTTTTTTTTTGTTGAATTTATTGGTGTGACACTGGTTTAAAAAAATAGATATTTTTATCCAACATTTTCTCATTTTCCCACATTGCAACTTACTGTTTTTTAACAAACTTCATTTCTAGTAGCTATGAGATATTCTATCCAGATAATGATCATGAATCTGCCTGTGGTTGGACATTTTTATCAGTTCTATTTTTCTCTTTTGTAAATGATAAATGTTGTTGTGTACATAGCACTTCCCAAATTGTAGATTATTTACCTAGAATAGCTAGTAAATGAAAGAAAATGAACATTTTAGTGATTTTTATTTATTTATTTATATACTTATTTTAAAAAATATTTTTATTGCTTTTTTACAGAGAGGAAGGGAGAGAGATAGAGAGTTAGCACATCCATGAGAGAGAAACATTGATAAGCTGGCTCCTGTACGTACTGGGAATGTGCCTGCAACTAAGATACATACCCTTGACCAGAATAGAACCTGGGACCCTTCAGTCTGTAGGCCTATGCTCTATCCTCTGATCCAAACTGGTTAGGGCCATTGTAGTGATTTTTAAATGTATGTTGATCATTTTTTTCTGTTATACCCAATTTCTACTGATTGATTGATGCATTCATTCTTTCAAATAAACAAAGACCTAGTCAGTTTCTAATATTTACCAAGTAATATGTGGGGGGGAAAAAAAACATTTAGTCTCTGCTCAAATGATTTTAATCCACTCTGGCTGTCATTAGTGACAACCAAGGACAACAGGCTTGTTTTACTTGTTTAAAAGTTTTACTGCATTTCTTTGATTTTTAGTCAGAAGATATCCTTGCTATTGTGCTGATTCCTTTTGAGAATTTCCTCTCCCTCTCTGTTTCCTCCCCCTTACTTCTGACCCATATAAATGCTGCTAGGCAAATTACTCAATCTGTAACTTTGCTTCCGCATTGTCCAATGGGAGTAATAGCAGTAAGAATGTCATGGGACTGTGGTCTGAACTCAAGACATTATATCTTAATGTTTCAATGATACATTATGAATCTTAAGTCAGTGCTTAGCACACTGTAAGCACTCTTAGACATTACCGGTTACTGTTTTTACTTGTACATCCATCAGTTGAATCACGAAATGGGCAAGGTAAGAACCATGTGGGCTTTGCTGTACATTGTATACCAATTTTTAAACAAGCTTTTTGTGTGCTTAAGCAAACAAATCTACCTAGTCATGAACTTACTTCACCTTCCTTTCAAGAATAGAAGAACAGATTAACTAGTATATAGATGGTGACTTTTTGTTTGTTTTTCCTGAAGCATGTTGTTGCTAAATTTTACAAAGTTCTGTAAAGTCCTTCAAAAGAAAAATATATATCCTTCAGTTTTCTGTCATCTGCGATTTAGGAATATTCCTTAATCAAAGAAATAAGAACAGTGATGTACTGACAGTTATAGTCTAATTAATTTTTAAAAGGTCTATGGGATGTCCTAAGGAAAGATGAACTTAACTATGCTGAATCAAATTGACAAGTGTCTGGCTAGTTTGCTAATGAGTCAGTCATAAGACTCCAAATTCTGTTTAATCAAGCCTCTATTCTTACCAATTTTTTTAAAAAAATATATTTTCCTTCATGATTATATTTATCTATACACACATACATATATAGATACTAGTATATGTATATAAATTCTAGTCCCCTCTCCTCTCTCTCTCTCTCTCTCTCTATATATATATATATTTCAACTTGCTTTAATGTAAACTAGAATATATGTATTGTATGTATTCCAGTTTAGTCACAATCCTGGTATTAGTAGAATATATTCATTTTGAGTAAGGAATATACGTCTTGGTAAATTATATATATTAAATTGAATATTACATTGTGTTGACTTACAAAGGCTAAAGATAAAATGTCTGTATAACTGACAGATGTCAATTAATAGATTGTTTTAGGAACTGTATATAAGGTATCAATTTTCTGAATACAAATTGTGTACTCAATTGTGATCACAACCTGTTTAATATTTTACAAAAATGAATAGGTATGCACTACACAGCTCTTTTCAGAAGCAAATAAAGTGTGGCATATGGTGAAGCCACTTGGAGCTGCTGGAAAAATAGCTAACTGCAGAAACACTTTTACTGTCACAACTGGCAAACAGCATTATTCCTTGCTGTTTCCAAGTCCTTTTGTTAACTACTCATGTCTTCAATAGCTATTGGCTATTACAACCAAAACAAACCCCCTTTCCCACTCCAGCAGCCCTACGTGGAAGGAAAGGCCAGTAAAGCCCCGACTCCGTTCTCAGGTTCTTCCTGGGGGAAGAAGTACAAAGAGGCCGAAAGGTTTCAGAGCCACAGCGAAGTCGCAGCAGAGAGCAGCAAATCCAAACGCTCTGCCGATTGACAAACACACCGGGAAGGAGACGTGCCAGCTGCTCCCGCTGGAAAGTTACCTCGCGCTTGCTTATTTTGGTTCAAGTTTTATTTTTATGGGACTCAGGAACAGTACGCGTTCTATGGGGGAAGGCGTCCTGCCCCCTTAGCGCAAGAATAAGCATCAGGGAGGTATCCGTGCAGGTGGATGTGTCTTGGGGCGCTCTGCACTGCCCCCCTTCCTAGGCGCAGCCGCTCCGCTGGGATCTCTCCACCTGGGGACCCGGGGACCCGGACCAGAGCGCGCGGCGATTGTGTGCGCGGGTCCTCGGGGGTCTGGCCACCCTGCTTCCCAAACTCGTGTATCTCACACTCTGCTTTCTGCAAGCGGACTGTGGACCTGGCCGGGTTCCCCTCCACCCTCCGATCGATCGGCGGGGCCGGGCTGCGAACAAAGGCGGCGGGGCGCGGGGCGCGGGGCGCGGGGCGCGCGGCTCTCCGGCAGGAGGCGGCGGCGCCGCGCCGGAGCCCGCATTCCTCCGAAGCGCCCGGAGCCCGCGGGGCGACGTCACCCCCCGGCTCCGCCCCCGTCCCTCCCCGAGCAAAGTAACTCCTGGCGCACGGGAGCGGCGGCCGCCGAGCCATGGAGAGCTGCCGCCGCCGCGGCCACCCGGCGACGCGAGCCGCCCCGGCGCCCCAGACGTAGTTGGGCGACCCGCGGGGAAGCGGAAAGTGCGGGCGGGCGGCTGGGGGCTCCCCCCCTTTTCGCCCCGATCGCACCCCGCGAGGCCCGGCCGGCACCCCAGCCGTGGATTTCGCTGCGATCCTCCGGGCAGCTCTTTGCAAAGCTGCTTGAAAGAAACTTCTCCCAAAGTCGACATGGATACGGCGGCGGCGGCGGCGGCGGCGCTGCCCGCCTGGGTGGCGTTCCTGCTCCTGTCCCCGTGGCCTCTGCTGGGGGCGGCCCGCGGCCAGTTCTCCGCAGGTGAGTGGTCCCCATGACCTGCCCGGGCCCTGGAGGGGTGCAGAGGCTCCTGGCCAGGGCCAGGGCCAGAGGATGGGACTTGGAGGGGCAGCTTTCTCGGCCCGGGGCCGAGGGAGAGATGCCCCCAGAGTGTGTGCCCAGGTGGGACCCAGGGCCCCGGGCTGGGCGCCACTGGGCGCAGGTTAACTTCTGTCTCCGCGACCCATTGTTCCCGGCTCCGGGCGCGGGCTGGCCGGGCGGTGCGGGAGGGAGCGAGGGCGGGCGGGCGGGCAGTGCTTTTCCCGGGGACACGCGGAGCCTCGGTGTGCAGCGCAGGCTGCACGGAGCTGGGGGAAGAGGAGGGAGAAAAAGTAGTTAGGACTCCGGGGACGGACGGCGACTCTGTTGCTCGGGTTGCTGCCTGCCACCTGGGTGACCAGCAACATTTCCCCGGGAAGCCATTGTCAGGAGCGTGCAGGCTCCGAGGACTGACCTCGGCGCGCTCTGCCAGGTGCTTTCTGTCCCGGGAATAACCTCCCCAGACTATTGTCTAACTACTTCCCGGTCCCTCCCCCGCCGGCTCCCTCCCCTCCCCTCTCCTCCCCTCCCCTCCCCTCCCCTCCAGGCTTTGTCCTTTGCCTTAGGGCGCTGAGCGGAGCGGGTTCCGTGCGTTCATGGCGTGTTTTGAAAGAGGAGCCTAAGGATCCACACCGATCGGTCCCGGGCAGCGGGGACCGGGAGCCGGGTCCGGGCAGCCTGAGCCCCGGGGGTTGGAGTCCAGCCATTCCCGGGCGGGTCTGGGTAGATGGGGACCCGCCAACGATCGCCGCCCGCGAGGAGCACCCCAAAGCAGGGATGTGGCGCGGTCCCTAGGGTTACCTAGAACCCTTGGTAAAAGCCACTTAGGAGAGCCCAGGAAAGCCGGTCTCTCTCCCGGTCCGGTCCTGTCTGTGTTCCCTTCCAGTTTTGTTATGCTTCCCGGCGGTTGCTTCTTTCCTTCTCTCCTCTGGGGGCTCTGGAGTTTCACCAGGTGGACGCTGGGGAGCGGGCTCCCGGGAGCCTGTCTGCTTCCCGCCGATCCTGGCAACTTTGTGGCCGATCCCTCCCCCCCCACCCCCAGCTCTCAGCCTTGGCCGGCGAGCGCGTCTGCTGCCTGTTTCTCGGCGCAGATGGAGACGCCGAGGTGGCCGAGGGGAAGCCGCAGCCGCGCTCCTGGCCGGCGGAGGCCGTAGGACGCGGAGAACCAACTTACTTTGCACACGTCTGTGTCCCTCCTGTGTTTTGGCTGCCCGCGGTTTCCAGGAAATAAACTCAAATGGTTGGGATCCGGAGCTCTGTTTGTTTATTCCCCTTCCTCCTCTCCCCTCTTTAGAACTCTATACAAGGAGTTAGCGGATTCAGGCGTTGTGCACCGGGACAGATGGTGAAATGCATGCAGCGTGTGGAGGAGAAGCTGTGTGTATGGGTGATGCTTGCAAAGGACAGCCAGCTCCAGGCGATGAATGAATGGCCCGATGGCTTAGGTTAATTCTCTCTGAAGTAGGCATTACTGCATGCACCCGTGACACGTAATGCCCATTAGTGTCGGAACCTGGAACCGTGCTTGATCTAAGAGTCATTGTGTGCAGGCAAGTTGGAGTGGGTATTGATTTCTTTCACCGTGCGTATCCCTGCACGGAGAGCCTAGGCTTGCAAAAAAGCATGCAGTGTGTTCATTGAAAGTTTGAATTCTACCAGCTGCGTGATTAAACTTACATGTATTCTACAGTGGTCACAGTTCATGTCTCAGCAGCCGATGGCTGTGTTTTCAGCAGTCAGGAAACTTTTCTTCTGCTTTCAAGTGTTATTTACCCATTTTTAACGCTTATTTACCCATTTTTAACGCGGGAGTAAATATTCAATTTCCTCCAGCAGAATGTTCATCAGATATCTCTGAAGAACAATTGTTTCCCTAGACACGCAGTTCAAGTCATTTGACTAAACATGCCTGGCTTTTCTGGAGAGAGACAAAGCAAGACATTGACTTTATATTACTGGTTAAGTAAAAGAATGAGCAGGCAGTATCCCCTGAACTGTATCTCAAAATTCTGCCATTCAGGATTTACATATATGTCCAGAAATTAATGCCACAGTTTAAAGTCAGTTTGTGGATCTGCCTTTCTCCAAAAATTAAAAGTTTATTTTGAGGGGAAGAAAAGTGCATTTTTCTGGCTATCATAAGTCATTTGGTGTCCTATTGTATTCAGCCTTTTGTCAGTCAGATTGTTGCATAGACATAGATTGAGATTGGCGGTGTGCTATTTCTTGCTGATTTTCTGATATTGTTCTTTAAATGATGAACTTTTATTTTGAGAGACATTTAAATAAAAGTGCTTTGAAGTCTAAAATGAATATGTATTAACAGAATTTTAAAATAACCTGTTTCATGTATTTTTCAAATCATACCCATTTAGGTCAGTTTACCACATTTAGATCATATCATGAGGCTTCTAATGTAATCAGTTTCAAAAGCAATTTGTGAAAAACTGAGGGTTGTTAGATCTTTGATGTAGGTACTCATCCAATATACTTTGTTTAATCACAAATTTAAGAATGTTTTCATCATTGTGACTTTAGTCTTAGCTTTTAAAGTGTAAAACTATTGCTCGGTGAGCCTCCTTCAAACCAGAACTGCCTATAAATATCAACCTATATTTACATTCTTTCAACTTAATCTCTCACTTAAAATGACACCAGTTTCATATGTTACATCTGAGGAAACTGAGGCATAGAAGCACAAAGATGTTTTGAAGTTTATTCACTGGGTTGTACAACTGTCATCTCTTGATATCATGATGTAAGAAAGTTTTCTGTACTAGGGCTCTGACAAACCCAGTCACAGGTGAGGTAACTTAGAAACTTAACTTGCCCATCTGTAAAATGGGGATAATAAAACGCATCCTGACCTTTCCACGTGGTTTTGATGAGGGTCATATAAAATAATTTATGTGAACTGGCACTGTAAATTACAAAGCATTATGCAGCTGTCTGGGTTGTAATCAAACATTAAAGTAGCTATGTGGCTTGGCTTCTGTCCTCAGGTACTCCTGCACTAGAGAGTATAGGCTGTTCAGATTGTTTCTGTTTGTGTCCCACTCGGCCAGTCACTTTATTTTAATTATTATTAGACATCAACACCCCAGATTGGCCAGGCCATAATTTCACAGTGAGAAAAGTTATCTTTTAATTTTTATATGTTTACTTACCTCATGTAAATCTTTACTTGAGTTAAATCTGGGGAAGAGTCATTACGGACATCCCTATATATCCTAGTTAATATATTTTAAGTCTGTTTCCTTAGCTGTTTGTTTAAGTAACTGCTAGTTGTTCAGCTTTTTCATTTCAGCGTGGAGAAAAAAAAACGCAGCTTTTTAGATGCAGTCTTACCAGCCACCTAGAGAGGGACTATTGTCTCTCTGGTGTGATGTGAGCCTGGCGTACAGCTCAGGATCCTGCCTGGAATCTGGTTCTGGCATGGCACACTGTAGGCAGGCACTCACTGGACTGCTTGGTCCCTGCCACTGAGCCGGGCCCCTTTCCTAGGATCTGACTCCTCTATGTCTTCGTAGGTGAGGTTAATTTCTCTTACTCGTATTTCCCGCTTGGACATTCCATCAGAGACAGCTTGTATGAAGGTTTGCCTTTTGGTCTTCTGGTTTAGATTGGCTACAGTCTGTCAGTCTCTCAATTCGTTAAAACTCCAAATTCTCACCCCAAGCAATAAAGTGTACCTTGTACCTGGTTTTTTCCGGGACTGGCTTTTTTCTCCCTGGTCTTCTTATGTTCCACTCTGTTGATTTTCCTAGATTGCAAGATGTCATTTTGTGCCTGGCCTACCCAGACGGCACAGGCAGTTCTGGCTGCAGTTGGGCTTTGGCATGTGTGCTGCTGACAGCTCTTCTCTTTGTATTCATAAATGTGAATTTCAAAGATAAATCAGGCCCCGTGCCACTGCTCCCCTCTCCCACACTCCTTCCCACTCTTCCCTGGCAGCAGCAAAGCCCACATGCACATACACAAAATCAGTCTTTTTGTTTTCACCGAATACCTTTTAATGCTGGGCTTTCTTAAAATATGACTCAACTGCTAACGCTACCCAGAGCAAACACCAATCCTCCTACAAATTTTTTTTTTTTTTAAATATGCTTTTATTGATTTCAGAGAGGAAGGGAGAGGGAGAGAGAGATAGAAACATCAATGATGAGAGAGAATCTTTAATCAGCTGCCTCCTGCATATACCTCCCACTGGGGATGGAGCCCGCAAATCCAGGCATGTTCCCTGACTGGGAATCGAACCATGACTTCCTGGTTCATAGGTTGACCCTCCACCACTGAGCCACACTGGCCTGGCCTACCAAATCTTATATTTTTAGCAGTGGTGGTTTATTAACATATTATTCTGGCCTTAACATTTTTGATTCATGGAATAGGGTCCAATGTAGAGAAACTGTGTTGTTGCCTTCTAGGGCTTTTGAAGAAAGGGTTCCAGGTCTGCTCGGTGTGGTATTAAAGACAGTGTAAGTCGTGCTGCACATGCATGTCCTCAGAGGCACAGAAGATGCTGATGTCATCTGTCCGGTGCTGTTCCCATTTCCCCTACTTGCTCTTTACGCAGGGCGGGAAGTCAGGGATCCTGGAAGACTAAGAGCAGGAAACAGTGAGAGAGTTTACAGATTGTTCTTAAAGAGAAAAACAAAGGATGCTGGGGTGTGTGGGCACCTGTGTGAGTGTGTGTGTTTGATCTTTAATTTTCCAAAGAGGAAAAGAAAAGACCTATTTTGATTATTGGAATCATCCTTTGCCTTTGTCCAAACACTTTCATTTCTAAAAATTTCCTTCTTTGTATTCCTCTCAGACTCTCCCCTTTGATCATGTATATTTTGTTCGTGTTCCTCTATCAAATGGTGTTTCTCTTTGTCTAAAAAACGGTTATAATTGCTTTTGACTTGTTTTTTCATCAAAACGCATGTTTGTCATAGTTA